AGAGATGATGGTGTGAGAATGATGGAAGGCGTGCAAGTGGTGAGACAAGTGTGGTTGCTTACCACGTGGAAGGTTGCACATGGTTGCACATGGCTGCACATGGTTGCACATGGTTGCACATGGTTGCACATGGTTGCACATGGTTGCACATGGTTGCACATGGTTGCACATGGTTGCACATGGTTGCACATGGTTGCACATGGTTGCACATGGTTGCACATGGTTGCACATGGCTGCACATGGTTGCACATGGCTGCACATGGCTGCACATGGTTGCACATGGTTGCACATTGTTGCACATGGTTGCACATGGTTGCACATGGTTGCACATGGTTGCTGGAACAATAGAAGCTGCTTAAAACCTCTGGGCTTAATAAACCTTCCCATGACTCTGCCTCTGACTCAGCCTCTCACTCTGCCTCTCGCACTGACTCCCTATATAATATTTTTTTCCCTGTCGTTATCCTCGCTGGTTGCTGTCAACTATATGTGATCTTTTTTTCCAAGGATCCGGAAGAGTTAGCACCAGTAAGAGACCAGAACTAGGCAAATACGATTAAGAGATACCTTTAGAATCTGACTGAATTCGCATTTGGAAATTACTTGCTTGTGATTGAATGGACCGAAACTCATTCCATCACGATTTTCCTTCGTTCGAGCATATCTCGAGCACTATCGCATAAGTGCTGGGGTTGGGGAAGCATTTATTTTTTAAGAAGCAGGAATCATTCGTATTCCAGCCCACCCCACCAATGCTCCAATGTTGCCTAATTCTGAGGAGTTTGAGCCAGTTGGACTGTTTGATAAAAGATTTCTGCACGCGGCATCGTTGAGAAAAGCTCACAGTTCCATCAGCACTTCAAGGTTGCCCAGTTTTGAAGAGATTGAACCTGTTAGATAGTTTCCGACAAGAATTCTGCAGTTTGTGAAGAAGGGTGCAATCACGGGAGAGTAATGTAAAACGCCACATTATATCATTCATACTTGCAGCAAGCACACGTGCAAGGAGGAAAGAGGTCCGTGCCTTTCTGAGCTGCAATTTAAATGCGTGTGACAAAGAGCAGCACGGCGCAGTGCAGTGCGGCACAGTGTGGCACAGTCCATATACATGCTCAGGTCAAGCAAATGCCAGCCTTGCTTTGAATGAACGAGACAAAACCAAAATTTCTACTGTTTTTTTCCATAACCCAGTCTTCTGAGCATTCGCCTGCACTCAAGGCGTCACCACGCTAAGATGAAACCCACCCCTGGTGAAATGCCTTTTACGTTTCAAGTGCCTAAAAATGCCAAAATGGCTTTTGAGGCACCTAAAACAATGCTGAAATGCACGTGCAGGGTTTGTATGGGGGCTCATCTGGCTGGGAAGTGACGAAAATGGATCGGTGAACTTATGGCACGATAGGAAGAAGAAATATCCTTAGCAAGAAAATGGTATAAGTCTTAAAGACTAGAGCAAGGTCCTTGTCCAAGGATGATTCCTAGTGAAGTGGGAAGCCACATATATGTGGCTGAACTCTTGAGGCTAGCTGCAGCACCTCAATGCTGAGGGCAAGGCTAGCCAAACTTGCCAAGCTAGCAAGCGAGGCCAAATGTTGCACATGTGGGCCAGGCTGGAACAACAGCCCACATAACAGCATATGGCACACCATAGAGGCCAGCAAGGTGAGTGTGGGATGAGTGGACAAGTGGCAATGCCAACTGTGACCACACTTCACTGTGGTGGAGTGTGGTGGAGTGTGGACATGTAATGTGGAGCATAACGAGAAGGAAAAGTGCAGCTGCTGAGAATTGAACCCACAACCTCTAAGACTGAAGGTCAGAATCTTCCCTCTAGGACATACTTGCTGCACAACAATCATCTCCACCACCCATATCATCATCTCCGCCTCCTCCCCCACCCCCTTCCCTCTCAGCCCCAACCTCCCCTCCCTCTCCTTCACCTCCCATGCCCTCTTCCACCACCCTCCTCCCACCATCTCCAAATCTGCCCGCACCAGCCACCTCTTCTCCTCCTCCTTTGTTTTCCAACCTTCCTCTGCCCTCGACACCGCAAGACTTCCGCCTTCCATCCCTCTCCTCTCCTTCAGCTCGTCCTCCCCCTTGCACCTCTAGTTCCTCACCACCATCCCCTTCAGCTCCTTCCAATCCTTCACTTTTCTCATTGCTCAAGGTCACAGTTGGCATTGCCACCTGTCCACTCATCCCACACTCACCTTGCTGGCCTCTATGGTGTGCCATATGCTGTTATGTGGGCTGTTGTTCCAGCCTGGCCCACATATGCAACATGTGGCCTCACTTGCTAGCTTGGCAAGGTTGGCTAGCCTTGCCCTCAGCATTGAGGTGCTGCAGCTAGCCTCAAGAGTTCAACCACATATATGTGGATTCCTACTTCATTAGGAATCATCCTTGGACAAAGACCTTGCTCTAGTCTTTAATACTTATACCATTTTCTTGCTAAGGATATTTTTTCTTCCTATCGTGCCATAAGTTCACCGATCCATTTTCTTCATGCTATCAGAGCTAGGCTTCTAGCTTTGTGAACGTCGCACACTTGATGGCTCAAGTTGAGATGCCTCTCGGTCGGCACACCCTTCCTCTCTTGGAACTGGATGGTTCCAACTTCATTCCATGGAAGAAAAAGATCTGTTACATCTTCAATGTCCTTGGGCTGATCTCCCTTCCTGGAGATCCCAAGGTTGCTGCCCGCCCTTCCATTTCCTCTTCCACAACCAGCAGTGGAGATGCTACTGAAGGCAACAATGGTGCAGGCCTTAAAACAGCCCATTCGATTGCGTCGTTGCCGGATGAAGAAAAAGAGGAGCATGCGTACTATCTTCTCATGTCAGCCGTCCATCCTCAGCTCTCGCTAACACTTGCTCAAGCCAACACGACGAAGGATATGTGGGGATGCATCATGGCGCGGTTTGACTGCATGGGTAACCATGCACAAGTGGCTCTCCTCCGAGATCTCATCACTACACGGATGGACCCAACAATGAGTCTTCGCTCCTACTTTGATTGAGTTGGAAATCTCACGCACCAACTCAAATCTGCCGGCTTCGAGCTACCATCTTGGGTGGTGGTAATCTCCATCATTCTCAATCTGCCGGACTCCTTCAAGACTCTCACAGAAACTATTTGCACCGTGAAAGACATCAAGTCTATGACGGTTGAATACCTGCAGTCACGACTACTCGATGCCGATTGGGAGCGGTCACAATCTGGTACAAGCCGCAACATGGAAGGTGCATACAACCTCCATTCCCAGCCTTCCCACCCTATTCGCTCCGGTTCCCGCCAGTCCCCTACTTGCCGCTACTGCAAGAAAACCGGCCACACCATTGACGAATGTTTCAAGTTGAAGAAGAAGAAAGAGCTCGAAGAAAGCTCTCGACGGGAGAAATCTGTCATCCAGCCTTCGGTGCATGTGTCAACAAGCTCCTCCGCCGACATCCCTTCGATCTCCACAACACCTACTGCCCCATCAGCCCCTCAGTCCGTACCTGATTCCCGGTACGTTGACATTGCTTTCAGCACCAGCCACCGCCCCATCCTCCCCACCTGGACTCCTCTCGTCGCTGCTGTCTTCATCTTCACCATCCTCCTCCTCCTCTTCCCTTATGGTGCTTCCTACACATCGGCACTCACGGCCTCTTCCTCAAACATGGTCCGGACTTCTTCCTGGCTGGTGGACAGTGGCGCATCTTCTCATATATGCTCCGATCGCTCGTTGTTTTCATCTCTCCAGCAGCCAACTGATGATATTATCGTTCGTTTTGGTGGTGGAGAAACTTACAAGGTCTTGGGAGTCGGCACGGTGGTGGCTACTCTTCGCTCACAAACCTCGGAGACCACCATCCAGCTAGACAACGTTCTGTTTCTGCCTTCATCGGTTCACAACCTCCTCTCGGTTCGTGCACTTGGAGCTGCCGGCATTGCCGTTTCCTTCCCCACTGCAGGGCGAGTTGAGCTCAAAACTGATGCGGCTCATATCGACGAGGGCTTTACCCGCAACAATCTGTTTTATCTTCAGCTGCATCATGGGAGCAGTGCCGCCCTCCCCATCAACCCCACAGCATGTCCAGTCTCCACCACCACCTCCTCATACCTTTGGCATCGCCGTTTCGGGCATCTTAACATGCGGGACCTGTCAACACTTCATAGGCAGCAGCTGGTCACCGGTCTTAACCTCTCCTCCTCCTCGATTCCCCAATGCATCTCGTGCTATCGTGGGAAACAAACGCGTCAACCATTTGGCGTGTCCCATTCTCGCACCACAGCACCGCTCCAACTCATTCATTTGGATATTGCTGGACCATTTTCATATGGAACTACCATTGGAGGCGCTCGCTACCTTCTCACCTTCATCGACGACTATTCCCGCCACATTACCGTGTATCTCCTACGCCATCGTTCAGAGGCATTTTCATGCTTCAAAGATTACGTCACTCGGGTGCACAATATGCATTCCCCAAGGACCATCAAAGCTTTTCGCTCTGATGGTGCCTTGGAGTTCAATTCCGACGCTTTCACTTCATTCCTTAAAGCTCATGGCATCGCTCGACACCGCTCTACGCCGTACACACCCGAGCAAAATGGAGTTGCTGAACGCGCTATACTTGAGATGGTCCGTTCCATGCTTCATGACGCACACATGGACAAAGGATGGTGGGGTGAAGCCACTCTCACTGCTGCCTATCTCCGAAATCATGCCATTAGTCGGGGTGGTTCAACTTCTAAGACTCCCATAGAACTATGGACCGGTGCACATCCGGACGTATCACACCTCCGCATCTTCGGTTCACCCGTTTCAGTCCTCATTCCTCCGCAACGGCGGTCTAAGCTCGACGACCGAAGCACGGCCGGCATCATGGTTGGGTATGGTCATCTTGACGGCACCAAGGCTTATCGCATCTATATCCCATCTCAGCACCGTCTCACACTTTCTCGTGATGTCATCTTCATGGAGCACTCTTCGCCACCTTCCGATGACCCTTGAGAACCTCCATCGTCATCTCCACCACCCATATCATCATCTCCGCCTCCTCCCCCACCCCCTTCCCTCTCAGCCCCAACCTCCCCTCCCTCTCCTTCACCACCCATGCCCTCTTCCACCACCCTCCTCCCACCATCTCCAACTCTGCCCGCACCAGCCACCTCTTCTCCTCCTCCTTTGTTTTCCAACCTTCCTCTGCCCTCGACGCCGCAAGACTTCCGCCTTCCATCCCTCTCCTCTCCTTCTTCAGCTCGTCCTCCCCCTTGCACCTCTAGTTCCTCACCACCATCCCCTTCAGCTCCTTCCACTCTTTAACTTTTCTCACTTCTCAAGGTCTTACCGTCTCCTTCTGAACCCATTGACTTCACCCTTCCTCCTCTTTCCAAGACATCCGCTAATGCCGCCCTTCATCATCATTACGAACCTCAAACCATTCATGAGGCCCGCACCGGCCCTGATGCTGCTGAATGGATCAAGGCTGCTGATGCGGAACTCGCTGCCCTGCACGCTAATGACACTTACAGCGTTGTTCCTCGACCACCCAAGTGCAAGCCGATTCCATGCAAATGGATTTTAAGGTCAAGGAGCATGCTGATGGTTCTATTGAACATCGCAAGGCCCGCCTTGTTGTCAAAGGTTCAAACAACGCAACGGTGTTGATTTCCATGACACCTTTGCTCCTACCGTCCGCTTCGCCACCCTCCGCCTCTTCCTCACCATTGCTGCCGCTTTCGACCTGGAAGTCAATCAGCTGGACATTTCCAACGCCGTCCTCAACGGCACTCTTGATGAAATTCTCTACATGATGCAGCCTCCCGGTTATGAGCTTCCGGCGGTCCATGGTAGACATGAGCACAAGGGCGAACACCTGTTCGGTTCGCCTCGAACGTGTTCGAGGCGAACCGAACAGGTTTGTTTTTTTTGCTTAAATTGTTCGCCGAACAGTGTTCGATGTTCGCCCGAACACGTTCGTGTTCGGGCCGCTGCTGCAATTCGCCCCGCGACGAACACGAACGTGTTCGATGTTCGCCCGAACATGCCTTCACAGGCGAACGGCAAACACGTGTTTTTGCTTAAAGTGTTCGCCGAACCGAACAGTGTTCGGTTCGGCAAACGGATGTGTTCGTCTAGGGGCGAACACGAACATGTTCGTGTTCGCCCCTTGCTCATCCCTTGTCCATGGTGTTAAGCAAGTTTGTCTCTTGCACAAAACGTTGTACGGGTTGAAGCAAGCGCCGCGATGCTGGTACCGCAAACTTCGTGAAGAGCTTGCTGCCTTTCGCCTTTTTGCTGCCTGTGCGGACCCCGGCCTCTTCACTGCTCCTCCTCAATCTCCTTATCGGCCTACAGCTGCATCCTTCTTCATGCTTCTCGTCTATGTTGACGACCTCATCATTCTTTCCTCCTTCTCTTCTCTTCTTTCTTCCTTCAAGCGTGCCCTTTCATCTTGCTTCAAGCTTCGTGACCTCGGTCCTCTTTCCTACTACCTTGGCTTTCACATCACTCGTGATCGGACCTCCCGCACCCTCAACCTTCATCAATCCAAATTCATCACCTCCATCTTAGACACCTACTCATTCACTCCACTTAACCCTGCTGCCACCCCCATGGACACCAAGTTTCAGCTGCCCGTGACTTCCTCCCCACACTCCTCCTTTCCTTACACCTCGTTTGTCGGATCCATCATGTATGCCATGGTGGGTTCCCGTCCCGACCTCGCATATAGCGCTGGAGTTGTTGCTCGTCACCTTCATGATTAGTCTACTCCTCACGTCTCGGCTGCCAAACGCGTTGCTCGCTACTTGAAAGGGACTACCTCGCTCAGGCTTCTCCTTGGCGGCATTCCCAACGCCCTTGAACTTCATGGGTGGTGTGACGCCTCTTGGGGACCGGAGGGAGAGCTCCGACGCTCCGTTATGTGCTACTTGTTCTTCCTTGGTCCGTCACTCATCTCTTGGCAGTCCAAACGTCAAGCTGTCGTCGCTACCTCTTCCTGTGAAGCTGAATATTATTCTCTGGGCGCCGCGGTGCATGAGGCATTATGGCTTTGATCCCTCCTTACCGCACTTGGACTTCCCCCAACCGGCTCCACCCGCATCTCGTGTGACAACAATAGTGCCATCATTCTGGCCAAGGACGACGGCGTCTTTCTTCCCAAGGCCAAGCACATCGACATCAAGCACCATTTCATTCGTGATCATGTTGCTGACCACTCCGTCACCCTTCTCTATGTTCCTACTCAAGACAACCTCGCTGACATTGGCACCAAGCCTTTGCCCCGTGACCCTTTTCTTCGCCTCCGTGGTCTTCTCGGTCTCACCCATGTCTCCGCTTGAAGGACCCTACCCCGGGGACATCCTTGAGGGGGGGTGTTGTGCAGCAAGTATGTCCTAGAGGGAAGATTCTGACCTTCAGTCTTAGAGGTTGTGGGTTCAATTCTCAGCAGCTGCACTTTCCCTTCTCGTTATGCTCCACATTACATGTCCACACTCCACCACACTCCACCACAGTGAAGTGTGGTCACAGTTGGCATTGCCACTTGTCTACTCATCCCACACTCACCTTGCTGGCCTCTATGGTGTGCCATATGCTGTTATGTGGGCTGTTGTTCCAGCTTGGCCCACATGTGCAACATTTGGCCTCGCTTGCTAGCTTGGCAAGTTTGGCTAGCCTTGCCCTCAGCATTGAGGTGCTGCAGCTAGCCTCAAGAGTTCAGCCACATATATGTGGCTTCCCACTTCACTAGGAATCATCCTTGGACAAGGACCTTGCTCTAGTCTTTAAGACTTGTACCATTTTTTTGCTAAGGATATTTCTTCTTCCTATCGTGCCATAAGTTCACCGATCCATTTTCTTCAATGACAATGGAGGTTCTCGAGGGTCATCGGAAGGTGGCGAAGAGTGCTCTATGAAGATGACATCACAAGAAAGTGTGACACGATGCTAAGATGGGATATAGATGCGATAAGCCTTGGTGCCGTCAAGATGACCATACCCAACCATGATGCCGGCCGTGCTTCGGCCGTCGAGCTTAAAGCGCCATTGTGGAGGAATGAGGATTGAAACGGGTGAAACGAAGATGCGGAGGTGTGATACGTCCGGACGTGCACCGGTCCATAGTTCTATGGGAGTCTTTAGAAGTTGAACCACCCTGACTAATGGCATGGTTTCGGAGATAGCCAGTAGTGAGAGCGGCTTCACCCCACCATCCTTTGTCCATGTGTGTGTCATGAAGCATGGAACGGACCATCTCAAGTATAGTTCGATTGGCGCGTTCAGCAACTCCATTTTGCTCGGGTGTGTACGGCGTAGAGCGGTGTCGAGCGATGCCATGAGCTTTAAGGAATGAAGTGAAGGCGTCGGAATTGAATTCCAAGGCACCATCAGAGCGAAGCGCTTTGATTGTCCTTGGGGAATGCATACTGTGCACCCGAGTGACGTAATCTTTGAAGCATGAAAATGCCTCTGAACGATGGCGTAGGAGATACACGGTAATGTGAGTCGTCGATGAAGGTGAGAAGGTAGCGAGCGCCTCCAATGGTAGTTCCATATGAAAATGGTCCAGCAATATCCGAATGAATGAGTTGGAGCGGTGCTGTGGTGCGAGAATGGGACACGCCACATGGTTGACGCGTTTGTTTCCCACGATAGCACGAGATGCATTGGGGAATCAAGGAAGAGGAGAGGTTAAGACCGGTGACCAGCTGCTGCCTATGAAGTGTTGACAGGTCCCGCATGTTAAGATAGACATGAGCACAAGGGCGAACACCTGTTCGGTTCGCCTCGAACGTGTTCGAGGCGAACCGAACAGGTTTGTTTTTTTTGCTTAAATTGTTCGCCGAACAGTGTTCGATGTTCGCCCGAACACGTTCGTGTTCGGGCCGCTGCTGCAATTTGCCCCGCGACGAACACGAACGTGTTCGATGTTCGCCCGAACATGCCTTCACAGGCGAACGGCAAACACGTGTTTTTTCTTAAAGTGTTCGCCGAACCGAACAGTGTTCGGTTCGGCAAACGGATGTGTTCGTCTAGGGGCGAACACGAACATGTTCGTGTTCGCCCCTTGCTCATCCCTATGTTAAGATGCCCGAAACGGCGATGCCAAAGGTATGAGGAGGTGGTGGTGGAGACTGGACATGCTGTGGGGTTGATGGGGAGGGCGGCACTGCTCCCATGATGCAGCTGAAGATAAAACAGATTGTTGCGGGTAAAGCCCTCGTCGATATGAGCCGCATCAGTTTTGAGCTCAACCCGCCCTGCAGTGGGGAAGGAAACGGCAATGCCGGCAGCTCCAAGTGCACGAACCGAGAGGAGGTTGTGAACCGATGAAGGTAGAAACAAAACGTTGTCTAGCTGGATGGTGGTCTCTGAGGTTTGTGAGCGAAGAGTAGCCACCACCGTGCCGACTCCCAAGACCTTGTAAGTTTCTCCACCACCAAAATGAACGATAATAACATCAGTTGGCTGCTGGAGAGATGAAAACAACGAGCGATCGGAGCATATATGGGAAGATGCGCCACTGTCCACCAGCCAGGAAGAAGTCCGGACCATGTTTGAGGAAGAGGCCGTGAGTGCCGATGCGTAGGGAGCACCATAAGGGAAGAGGAGGAGGAGGATGGTGAAGATGAAGACAGCAGCGACGAGAGGAGTCCAGGTGGGGAGGATGGGGCGGTGGCTGGTGCTGAAAGCAATGTCAACGTACCGGGAATCAGGTACGGACTGAGGGGCTGATGGGGCAGTAGGTGTTGTGGAGATCGAAGGGATGTCGGCGGAGGAGCTTGTTGACACATGCACCGAAGGCTGGATGACAGATTTCTCCCGTCGAGAGCTTTCTTCGAGCTCTTTCTTCTTCTTCAACTTGAAACATTCGTCAATGGTGTGGCCGGTTTTCTTGCAGTAGCGGCAAGTAGGGGACTGGCGGGAACCGGAGCGAATAGGGTGGGAAGGCTGGGAATGGAGGTTGTATGCACCTTCCATGTTGCGGCTTGTACCAGATTGTGACCGCTCCCAATCGGCATCGAGTAGTCGTGACTGCAGGTATTCAACCGTCATAGACTTGATGTCTTTCACGGTGCAAATAGTTTCTGTGAGAGTCTTGAAGGAGTCCGGCAGATTGAGAATGATGGAGATTACCACCACCCAAGATGGTAGCTCGAAGCCGGCAGATTTGAGTTGGTGCGTGAGATTTCCAACTCAATCGAAGTAGGAGCGAAGACTCATTGTTGGGTCCATCCGTGTAGTGATGAGATCTCGGAGGAGAGCCACTTGTGCATGG